TAGGGTGTTGATTTTAGATCTTTCCTGCTTTCTTTTGTGGGCATTTAGTGCTATAAATTTCCCTCTAAATACTGCTTTGGCCGTGTCCCAGAGATTCTGGTATGTTCTTTGTTCTCATTGGTTTCAAAGAACTTATGTATTTCTGCCTTAATTTCATTATTTACCCAGTAGTCCTTCAGGAGCACGTTGTTCAGTTTTCATGTATTTGTGTGGTTTTGAGTGAGTCTCTTAATCCTGAGTTCTAATTTGACAACACTGTGGTCTGAGAGACTTTTATGATTTCTGTTCTTTTACATTTTCTGAGGAGTGTTTTACTTCCAACTATGTGGTCAATTTTGGAATAAGTGTGATGTCATGCTGAGAAGAATGTATATTCTCTTGATTTGTGGTGGAGAGTTCTGTAGATGCCTATTCGGTCTGCTTGGTCCAGAGCTGAGTTCAAGTCCTGAATATCCTTGTTAATTTTGTCTCATTGATCTGTCTAATATTGACAGTGGGGTGTTAAAGTCTTCCACTATTATTGTGTGGGAGTCTAAGTCTCTTTGTAGGTCTCTAAGAGCTTGCTTTATGAATCTGGGTGCTCCTGTATTGGGTGCGTATATATTTAGGAGAGTTAGTTCTTCTTGTTGCATTGATCCCTTTACCATTAGGTAATGCCTTTCTTTGTCTTTTTTGGTCTTTGTTGGTTTAAAATCTGTTTTAGCAGAGACTAGAATTGCAACCCCTGCTGTTTTTGTTTATATGCTTGATAAATATTCCTGCATCCCTTTATTTTGGGCCTATGTATGTCTTTTCACGTGAGATGGGTCTCCTTAATACAGCACACCAGATCTTAACTCTTCATCCAATTTGCCAGTTTGTGTCTTTTAATTGGCATATTTGGCCTGTTTATATTTAAGGTTATTATTGTTATGTGTGAATTTGATCTTCTCATTATGGTGCTAGCTGGTTATTTTGCCCATTAGTTGATGCAGTTTCTTCATAGTGTCAATGGTCTTTACAATTTGGTATGTTTCTGCAGTGGCTGGTACTGGTTTTTCCTTTTCATGTTTAGGGCTTCCTTCAGGAGCTCTTGTAAGGCAGGCCTGGTGGTGACAAACAAAATCTCCCAGCATCTGCTTGTCTGTAAAGGATTTTATTTCTACTTTGCTTATGAAGCTTAGTTTGGCTGGATATAAAATTCTGGGTTACAAATTAGTTTCTTTCAGAATGTTGAATATTGGTCCCCATTCTATTCTGGCTCACGGGGTTCCTACAGAGATTCACTCTTAGGCTTCACTTTGTGGGTAACCTGACTTTTCTCTCTGGCTACCCTTAATATTTTTTCCTTCATTTCAACCTTGGTGAATCTGATGATTTTGTGTCTTGCGGTTGCTCTTCTTCAGGAGTATCTTTGTGATGTTCTCTGTATTTCCTGAATTTGAATATTTGCCTGTCCTACTAGGTTGGGGAAGTTCTCCTAGATAATATCCTGAAGTGTGTTTTCAAACTTGGGGAGAATGGAACCATCACTTTCAGGCATACCAATCAAATGTAGGTTTTGTTTTTCATAGTCCCATATTTCTTGTAGGCTTTGTTCATTTCTTTTCATTCTTTTTTTGCTAAGCTTGTCTTCACACTTTGTTTCATTAAGTTGATCTTCAATCACTGATATCTGTTCTTCTGCTTGATCGATTTAGCTATTGATACTTGTGTATGCCTCACGAAGTTCTTGTGCTGTGTTTTTCTGCTCCATCAGCTCATTTATGTTCTTCTCTAAATTGGTTATTCTAGTTAGCAATTCCTCTAACCTTTTTTTCAAGCTGCTTAGCTTTCTTGCATTGGGTTAGAACATACTCCTTTAGCTCAGAGGAGCTTATTATCCACTTTCTCAAGCCTATTTCTGTCAATTTGTTAAACTCATTCTCCATCCAGTTTTGTTCCCTTGCTGGCAAGGAGTGTTGTGTTCCTTTGGAGGAGAAAAGGTGTTCTCGTTTTTGGAATTTTCAGGCTTTTTGCACTTTTTTTTTTTTTTTTCCTCGGATTTATCTACCTTTCATCTTTGATGTTGGTGAGCTTCAGATGGAATTTCTGTGAGGACATCCTTTTGGTTGTTGATGCTATTCCTTTCTGTTTGTTAGTTTTCCTTCTAACAGGCCTCTCTGCTGCAGGTCTGCTACACTTTGCTGGAGGTCCACTCCAGACCTTGTTTTCCTTGATCACCCAAGGAGGCTGCAGAACAGCAAAGATTAGATTATGGCCTGTTGCTTGCTCTGGAAGTTTTGTTCCAGAGGGCACCCACCAGATACCAGCTGGAGCTCTCCTGTATGATGTGTCTCCCAGTCAGGAGGTATGGGGGTCAGGGACCCACTTGAGGAGGCAGTCTTTCCCTTAGCAGAGCTCATGCACTGTGCTGGGAGATCTGCTGCTCTCTTCAGAGCCAGGAGGTAGAAACATTTAAGTCTGCTGAAGCTGCGTCCACAGCTGCCCCTTCCCCCAGATGCTCTGTCCCAGGGAGATGGGAGCTTTATCTGTAAGCCCTTGACTGGGGCTGCTGCCTTTCTTTTACAGATGCCCCTGCCCAGAGAGTAGGAATCTAAAGAGGCAGTCTGGCTACAGTAGCTTTGTGGAGCTGTGGGGGGTTCCACCCAATTCAAACTTCTCAGCAGTTAGTTTTCCCCCCATGGTATAAAATAATCTACTCGCCGGGCGCGGTGGCTCAAGCCTGTAATCCCAGCACTTTGGGAGGCCGAGGTGGGTGGATCACGAGGTCAAGAGATCGAGACCATCCTGGTCAACATGGTGAAACCCCGTCTCTACTAAA